CTGTGAGCCTGGCCGTTAACCCTGCATCTGAGTGACCAGCTGTGTCTGGGGTGTTCTGTAACCTGTGTGTTTCTGTGTTTGTGGTGTTTGTATATTTCCCTGTGAGTCTGTGTGTCTGTGCACCCTGGAAACAGCAAATGCACAGGCGATCTCCTCAGGGGTATGGAGAGGACAATATGTTCTTCCTCCTCCCACAGGCTGAGCCCTTAACGCCTCTGCTCTTCCAGGTGTCTGGTGACCCCAGGGATTCATCTCAGGCTCCAGGGATGGATGAAGTGAAGAGTCAGTTCATAGAATCCCAGGCTGTGGGAAGGTGGAGAATTTTGGAGGACTCTGATGACAGACAAGAGGTAATAGAGTGTGGAGGGGGGTGTTTGTGGAGGACTCTGTGCCATTGTGGAAAAACTGAAGGACCCTGGATCCCTGGAAAGGAAGGAATGAATGTATGCATATGGTGACAACTAAGGGGGAAGACTCTTGGACCCCTAAGCCCCCCTCCCCCACCCTCCTCCCATGCGTGGATACACATGGAGAGGGCTGGAGGAGTCAGGTGATACTCCTGGCCCCTGAAGAGCAGGTGTGTAAGCTAGGCTGACGCCTAATAGAGGAGGGAGCCTGGGGCGGCTCAGAGCATTACTCCTGGACTTGGGGGTCCTGGTCAACTGTACATGCATGGCTACACAGGAACACAGAGACCAGGAGAGAGAATTAGGCCCAGTTCTCTCCAATGGGTATAGGGAGAAATATAGAGGGACAGCATTTAGCACAGGTTCATGCACAGATTGAATGGAAACCACAGGATATCACCATTGCTGTTCATGTCAGCATTGTTACAATCAGCCTCACCTGAGCAATGCAAATGATAAAGAGGCTTGGAATCAGGGTAGAGACTGGTGTTAATGTAAAAGAACATGGATGCTGGAATGCTTGCAGGCTTGCGCCCTTCCCAATAGACACTGTTTACATGTGGGTCTTCACCTCCTCTACAGTGGGGGAACTGAGGCAGCCAGGTATTTACCCAGGGTCACACTCAGAAGTGGGTTCTTAGTTTTCTGCCAATGACATCTGACACCTTCTTCTGAGGTTCACTTTGAAATTTGACAATGACAGTTTGGGGCAGCTCAGGGAGAAAGTTCACCTGGATGAGGAGAAAATGAACCATCCTGACTAACATTGTCATTTTCTACAATCCCTACTCATCTCCTTTGCCACTGCACAACCCCAAAAGAGGCTGGCACCATGTGGTGGCCTTCATGGGGCCCATCAAGAACGCCAGGTTCTGCCCTAGCTGTTTTGACTCAGTGGATAGAGCATCGGCCTACAGACTGAAGGGTCCAGGTTCGATTCCCGCCAGGGGCACATGCCTGGGTTGCGGGCTAGATCCCCAGTAGGGGGTGTGCAGGAGGCAACCAATCAGTGATTCTCTCTCATCATTGCTGTTTCTATCTCTCTCTCCTTCTCCTTTCCTCTCTTAAATCAATAAAATATATTTAAAAAAAAAAAAAAGAATGCCAGGTTCTCCTCCTGATCCCATGAAGTTGGCTGCAGCACTGTGATGTGCTTTGACCAATGAAAGGTGGTGGAGTGAATCTTGTTACCACTCACAGTCTGGAACCACTGAGTCTGCCCACCATCTCTGTCCATCTCTCACATACCTAGGAGGTATCTACATGGTGGCTTCCTTTTATACCAGTCCCAGCAGAACAAGGGAGAACATGTGGCATGAACAAGATACTTTCTTTAATATATATAGGCCACTAAATCTTTGTGGCTGTTTGTTATCTATAATAACACCTACCCAATCCTAATGGTTATACATTGCCAACTCTACTCTCTAGGAGGCAGCAGAGCCTAACATTAGAAGCCAGAGCTTCTGTTATTAGAGACACATGGGTTTGACTTCCAGCCTTGACTTTTATTAACAGCATTTATGCAATTTACACTGAAATACTAATGCATGCAAAGCATTGAATCCAGGGACTGCACATGTAGTAACCATTCAGTAACTCTTAGCTCCATAGCTTCACAATGTGTACTGGCTACAAACATTCAGACAGTGTAGGAAATGTCAACTTGTTTGACTATGTAACCTTTTAATTTTTGTTTTTAAACAAATAGAATAGGATTATGTATATTTTCTCATAGCCTGCTTTTCCTCTTAATAATATGATTTTTTTATATAAAAATAAAAAATGTGATGGCTGGAGTGGGTCTGTTGGTTGAGCATAGTCCCAGGCAGGGAAAGGTTACCAGTTTGATTCCATGCGGGAGGCAACAATTGGTGTTTATCTTGTTACAGAAAAACCGGAGAAGAACCAAGCAATGCTCAGAGAGTTTGGAGTCACACTTTATTCACCGCAGTGGGCTTAGAGAAAATGAATTCAAATTCTAAGCAGAGCTACAAGCAGAACTTCCCTTTTTATGAAAGAGCCAGCCCTATGTGCGCTTAGTGGTTATCTCGCTGGTGGCCTTGAAAACTACACAGCTCTATCCAATTAAAAAATGCACCTGGCATGGCATTGGGCATACAAGGTCTCTGGCCTACAAGGTCAGACAGCTAAGTTTATCTTCTTCATTATTCAAGCAGGCTAAAGCAGGCTAGAAAGCAAAGGTATTTTTTTTTAGAATAAGAGGCCGCCTAAAGAATAGCAGAGAATTCCAAACAGTAGTTTTACAAAATAGGGGTTAGCCCTCTCATTCCCTCCCTTGTCCCACAAGCTTTTTAGCTTTGTGGTACAATAACTATGGGATGTTAC